TGTTGAAACTCTCGTACAAGAAATTCCTATGATGATAAAAACAAAGCGGGAGTGATCCCATCTATACTTTCTCGAATATTCTTATATAAAAATACGGGGCATGGGAATTCGGGATACAGGCATGATATTATTCCATTTTAAATTACTTAAACTTTATAAATAGAATAGAATCTTGTAGAAAAAAGAATTGTCCACCAAGTGAGCAGCAAACAATGTGTTATAATAGTGCGGAACGTAACAACTTTATAAATTAATTAAATAGATTTTTAGAAATCGGTAATAGCGTACGGTAGGTCTACTACTTTTGTCACCGATACTACTCAAAATTTGACAGAAGGCAGAAAATTAGATCTTTTACTTAAATTTGGAATTTCGTCTATCTATCCGAAACAATAAACAAGTTATAGGCTTTTGAAAATTGTAAGTAGAATAGTTCCACTTCCGGTTACCAGAAATAGCTGAAAAGTAGATAGAGAACAACAAATTTGATATCCTACTAATATATGAAATGTCACCAACCTAGCTCTAAAGGTACTCAAGTAATCGTGTTCACAGACACGCATACACACAAACACATGCACAGATACACAAATACACACACAAGGACCAAATTGCAAAGTTATTTTTTTTTTCGACTCAGCGAGGTGTAAAACGTCGAGATTTGTAAAAATCTAGATTTTTTTTTCACGATTGCAATACTTTCACTATAAATCGTATACGAGAAAGTAAACAAGTTAATTAAACAAGTTAATTAAAAAGTCTAGTGACAATTTTAGCGCAATTTCCTTATGTTATCTAAAAATAGCTCTGTCGTAGCGTAAATCAAGAGCAGGGTTAGTAAAACCATTGGTTAGTTATTAAAACGTTTTTTATTTAAAAAAAAATTCAGTATTTTACATGTTTTATTTACAATAGAGTTACATGACTAAAAACCATTGCGCGCCTAGCTACTGAACGTGATGACGCAGCCATTGAACGTGATGGCGCAGCTATTGAACGTGATGACGCGTGTGGTGTGGTTGGAAAAAATGCCTACTAATTCGGTCCAAATTTTAATTAATTCAAAAATTTTTTTGTGACCAAACGAAAGGATATTTTTGAAAACTTTCTTCGGCAATATTGTTCTAAATTATGGCAGGAATCGATTGGTACATGTTTCAAGTCGCTAAGTGGTCTGGTTGCCGAGATATGGGCCAAAAACTGCTTTTTTAAAAGGTTTTTTGGCTTTTCTGGGAAATACATGAAAGAAACCCGGAATGTTTATGGCCTATGTTCATCCTCGTAACTTGTTTAACATAATTGCTTTTGGAACTAGTCATCGATATTGCTTCGTTAAGGCGGAGATACGACTTAAAGCTGCGGACACACATCCATCCATCCATCCATCCATTCATACATTCATACATCCAGAAATGACGGGTTAATAAACGCAATTCTCCAGAATGGAAATTGCGCTAAAAAGTCTAGTGACATTTATGCGCAATTTCCTTATGTTATAAAAATAGCTCTGACGTATAATGTCGGGGTGCGTTCAAGCTAGAAGAACGATCGGTTTGTAGGTGTTTATGTAATTTTAAAATTTGTGACCGAACGAGAGAATATTTTTGAAAACTTTCCTCGGCAATATTGTTTTAAATTATGGCAGGAATCGATTGGTACATGTTTCAAGTCGCTAAGTGGTCTGGTTGCCGAGATATGGGCCAAAAACTGCATTTTTTCGAGGTTTTTTGGCTTTTCCGGGAAATCCATGAAAGAAACCCGGAATTTTTATGGCCTATGTTCATTCTCGTAACTTGCTTAACATAATTGTTTTTGTAACTAGTCATCGATATTGCTTCGTTGAGGAGGAGATACGACTTAAAGCTGCGGACACACATCCATACATTCATCCATCCATCCAGAAATGACGGGTTAATAAACGCAATTCTCCAGAATGGAAATTGCGCTAAAAATAGCAAAAAAGTCCAAATGTTATTGATGATCTCTATATCTATTGTTGATTGTTGGATAGATCTTTAATTACTTTTACTTAAATTATTTTAAAATATATTTATACGGTATCTATTTGGTAGTTTTTTAGTAGTAGAGTAAAACGTTAGAATTATTTTAGCTTTGGGAAGGGCAGCTTTTTTTCTAAATATGTGGTAGTTAAAAAAAAAAAGAATGTTTTAAATTTTCGTTTGAAGCTAATCTACTTAATAAATACTTCGGAAGAAAAGTCCACTAACACTAACAATGAACAGTCTTCTAAGATACAGAGTTGCTTACCTTTCATTTCTGTTCCCCAATTAAATTCGGAGTTGAAGATGTGGCAGTTTACAGAGAAACTAACTCGTGAGAAAATTATTTTGAAAGAATGTTGTAGTAGTTATCTACAATTGTTAACAAACTAGTAAAAAATTGCTTTTATGATAAAATAAATCTAACATGCAAAAAAAAATAAAAAAAAAAAAAAAATTCCGTATGTCGTGTCAATGATGTTTCTTAATTCCACTGAGAAGTTTTCTTTTGTTTATCTAACTACTTCTAAACAAATTGTTTAAAATACATGTTTGTATGGAACCTTCTTCTTCTCATTCGTTCTTATATTTTTGTTTTGGGAGGGAATAGTGCCTAGTATGAACAAATGTCCTCATATAAAATACTATGTGTATGTAGATCTTTGTCCATGTCTGATGAAAATTTGTGCAGTGATTCATCTTCTGGACGCTCAGATAATTTTTACACCACAGCTTGTTTAGACAACTAGTAAAGGAGGAGGAAATGATCTATCTGTTACAAAGCTAAATTATTTTATCAATGGCAAGATTCGCACACCGTCCCAAATTCAGAACTCTCGGAGTATGGCGTCATAAACACATTTTATATAAACAATGCATATATATATATATATATATATATATATATATATATATATATATATATATATATATATATATATATATATATATATATATATAGGTATATATATATATATATATTTATGGGCATAGTGCTGACCACATTTATCTCTTCACATGCCGAAACAAGTAAACTCTACTTCACGTACCCTATAGACAGTCAGATTTGAAAGGGAACTTTACTTTTACAAAATAAATAGTTGATTTAAAAGGTACGTGCCGCAGAAGTTAAAAACTATTTATACAGTAGAGTTTTTGAATGATCCATTTTAGGTTTCTTATGCTACGTAAAACTATATACTTTTGGTTTCGCACTTTCCTAAAAAAAAAAACAGATTTAGTTATAGGTGCGTTTCGCTGCGTAAACTTATTTTCTTTTCATGTACTAAAGAACAGACCACTTCCGTTTTAGTCGATTATAATAACATTGTTTTCAAAAACTATTTTACATTAAGCCGAATTATTATAAATGTGGAGAGCCAAATCATCTTTTGAAAAGATTTATATTTACCTGATAGTAATTTAAAAGTCGTCATTCATTTTTTGTAATAATTTAAAACCTGAGGAGTATTATATTTTTAAGATGATCTACAATAAAGTTTTGATCGTCTTTGTATTTACGTGTTACATGCACCGTAAGTCAGACAATAAGATGTGGGTTTTTTTTTGATACAAACTACTTGAAACAAACCAGTCTAAACCAGGCTAAGATAGCAAATAGTTAAATCCAAAAAAGAACATGATTTAAAACTTGACGCAGACTTTCACAAGTGTACATCCTTACTGTTTTAGATAGATTACACTGAACTCGATTTTATGATACTTTTTATTTTTATTTACACGAGAATAAGTAAATCCACTGTTGGATCAGTGTATCACAAACGCGAAGAAAATAAGAAAGTAGAACAAACTACAACCAAGCATTATACTCATGATTATAGCTTACACGCGATAAAATACTTAAAATGACATTAGAGCAAACTGCCTTTAATGCACACAGCTCATCCGACATAGTCACATCTTACACTCGCCCCGTTGGCATAGTCAGCATCTTTTTTACACATTTCATATACCCTCGCATTCTCAATCACCGGTCTGTGAGCAATACCCCAAACATATGAAAATCTCATGATTGGATCTTGACCTGGACCTAGACCTAGACCTAGACCTAGACCTAGACCTAGACCTAGACCTAGACCTAGACCTAGACCTAGACCTAGACCTAGACCTAGACCAAGACCTAGACCTAGACCTAGACCTGGACCTAGGCGTATTTTAAAAAAAAAATAGTATTAATTTCAGATAAAACTGATGGAGCTAGAGAAAAAAATGTACATAGTAAGTAAGTTTAAATAATATATTTTAACCTTATTTCCGAATATTTGAGGCTTAAAATCCGAAGGACATTATAAGTAGAGTCAGCTCTAATGTGTACCTAGTTCATGTTAGGGAAAGATAAAAGCGGCTGGGCATGGTGCTGGTTACACCACAATTATGTTTTACATAAGTTACAGAAACAAGTGAACTCTACTTCATCTGTCCCGGGGATAATGCTAGTGACACATGTTTGAATATTTTAACATTCTGATTCGGTGTTTACTTCAAACACAGATTCAGTGGACCGAATGTGTAACTATAAAACTATTAACCGTTTAGGTGAATACGATTAACACTACTTGTATTAAACAGTAATATAAATTGAAAATGGTAATCAAACTAATAGTATTGGGACACTAGTAATTAATTTAACTTTAACTGTTTAAGCATGTCTATAATATATATATATATATATATATATATATATATATATATATATATATATATATATATATATATATATATATATATATATATATATATATATATATATATCTATATATATATATAGAGCCTATATATATATATATATATATATATATATATATATATATATATATATATATATATATATATATATATATATATATATATATATATATATATATATATATATATATATATATATATATATATATATATAATATAATATAGTTTGTATTATATTATTATAATATATCATAATATATGTAGGCCTTCATATATAAAATCTTTTTGTTACAGGTCCATACCACAATCGCAGTGAGAATTGTAAGTATCAAAGTCTCATGCTAATTTTAAAAACAATCTTTACAAATCACAAAAATCTCTTCACTCGCGTTATTTTATGAATTAATGCACAAGCGTAAGTTTGTTTTTATTACAGTCAATCCTCTTGATTTGAAAGATTGTAGCTACAGCAGTTGTCTTCCCAAAGGCCGGATTGGAAAAATATTATGCTGGTAAAATATCAACTTTAGTGTCGCACCATTGATGTCGCTAACATTTTGATCGATGTAACTGTCTAATTCTTCATCTTTGACTATGCATAAATCAGTAACGCAACTCAGAATGAGCTCTTTGATATTTTAATACTCCGTTTGACGCCCCTCTAAACTCACTTCAGCTAAAGACAAGTTATATACCTAAAATATATATACACCAAAAAGTGAAATCAGTTTTAATGCAATTCCAATGTTAAATATATTTTCACCCAGCGTCATTGTACTGAGATCAATACACGTATAGAAATAAAAACAGTAGTGCTAATCACATTATCTTTATACAATTTTTATATCTTAGGGTCATCAGTGCTACTAACCTCTGTGTGGATAATCAGAACAATTTTGTAAATTTTAGTTTTCATTTTTGGTACTTTCTGTTTACTAGTTACAAATTCAAATCATGATTTGTTAAACATAGATAATAAAAATGCTTCAGAATAATAATAAATGTTTTTTTTTAATTTTCTTTCTTGGAGTATGAATTATCCATTTTACCACGATATGTTTCTAGGCAAAGCTACGAGTATGCTGTCTGCGCCAAGAAAATTATCCGTGATATGGCTTGTGACAAAGATAAATACGAGGCCGCCAAACGCTTGTCGAACGAACTGGAACGAAACAGAGAATCTCAACGATGTGGATACTGTTAAGTACAAATTAGTTACTTTATTGAAAATTTATATTCACGAAAAAGGCTACAGTATTATAATTCGTGGAGTATCAGAACTAACCATATATAGGGTAAATTTAAATAGTTTTCATGCTGTCAAATCTAAGTAAAGTTCCGCTTCAAAACTAGACGGTCTATGGGCCAGGTGAAATAAAGCTCACATGTTTCTTTGACATCGGCTAATGAAAGGTGTGGTCTGCACTATGCCTCGCCGCCTTTACTTTCCCTAACCTGAGTTATGTGCGGTCTACTGACTTGAACACGGATTCGAACTAGCTCTCTACCGCTAGGCCACTCAGTCACTTATGAAATTATAACATCCGTTTTCAAAGAAATATATGTCAACTGCTTTTTTTATGCAACTTTAAATAAGGAATCTAAAACTGTTAACATTTTCGTCAGAATATTTATTGTCTACGTGCATCTGCCATTTATTTTAGTGAGGATTTCTCACGTAACGCCTTGACTATATAGTGGTGTTGCGTGGTCAAACACAGCGTCCACAAAAAGTGACCTCTACATCATCTGTCATATTGACCGTCATGTCTTAAAGAGTAAATTCACAAGATATATTTTTCCAATAGCCTAAAGAAGTTAAAACTTTTGTTTTTGTAATTTTTTATTTTTGTAAAAAATAAACGATTGTTTTTTTATTTTTATTTTATTGATTTTTAAAGATTTGAATGAAAGCTCAAAAACGGGTTTTTCGTTTGACCTAAGCAGATCAGAACTCTTACCCTGCTATGAATTTTATGACTACCACCAGCCTGATACTCGGTGTAAGTAGAAACTCAGTGTAGTATTTTATGGTTATCATCACCATGATCATGATCATGATCATGATCATGATCATTATCATTATCATTATCATTATCATTATCATTATCATTATCATTATCATTATCATTATCATTATCATTATCATTACCATTACCATTACCATTATCATTATCATTATCATTATCATTATCATCATCATTATCATTATCATTATCATCATCATCATCATCATCACCATCAGTATCATTATTATTATTATTATCATCATCATCATCATCATCATTAGTTTCCATTCGTGCTAAAGAAACATGGGGCAGATGAAGTAGAGCTCGTCTGTTTTCTTGACATCATGATTTCAGCACTACGTTCATCCGCCTTTGTTTCTCTGAGTAGGTTCCCCTCATGGTTAGGTGGACTCCGTGACGTCTATTCAACACCTTATTTTTTTTTATTTTTTTAACAATAGTCATCGATTACAGTGTGAAGTAAAACAATATTAAAAGAGTGATGTTGCCTTTTTAACTATAGGAAATTATATATGTATTAGTCAATTTTAGAAAGAAAAAGTTACGAATTTTTAAAAATGAAAATTTTAAGTTAAAAAATTTAAAGTAATTGAAAAGTTCAAAACATATAGAAAACATAAACAAAAATACATCTGTAATATTAAAATATCGGTTTATTTTCAAGGACATAATTTTATTCAGTTTATTAACGTATTTGCATGTTTTCTGTTTTCTACAACTCAAGATTGCCAGTTTTATCTTGATTGCCTGGGGTCAGAAGAAGGCATAGATTGCTGGTATGTATTATCGTCATACCCACCTCTTAGTTTTTCATTGTTATCTAACAAGGAATTTCCTCGAACACAAGTAATTTTAAGTGGGCAGTATAGCGAGTGGACTACGTATAAAGCTTGTTTTTCTTTCTGGATTTGTTTTCACCCTAAAACAATGATCATAAAACGGATTGATTCCTATAAAACCTCAGAACCCGAAAAGCTAAAAGGCTAGATCTGCATATTATTTTTGGATGTAAAGAAAAACCTCTCTTCAAATCGTAAATTAACTTAAGATAGTTTAATACATGCAAACGTAACACAAACTGTTCCAAAAATGTTTATTATTGTAAATGTAGTAAAATTTAGTAAAATTCAACCACCATTAATTACTCAAAATTTTAATTTGGACTTATACGTAAATTTCAAATTACAAAATTTTAAAACTTACATAATTTTTTTTTTTGGTTTTAATGCATATTTATATATTAACATATTTTAAAGTATAATAGAATATGATAACTTTTATACAGTTATGTGTACTTACTTGCAGTGCATTTCGCATGAGTTGGTTATAGATGGAAAGGTGTATTATGACCACATTTATTTTCATAACTTTCTGGAAAAATAAAAATTCTCATGCTTGTCTAATCATCCGAAATCTTACTTAATTATTTTTTTGGGGCCAAACAGGAAAAACGCAAGTTATTATGATTTAAAAAGTAATAATGATATTCATATAAAAAAATAAAATTATAACAAGCTCGCCTAGAATATTAATATTGATATTCCAGCTCAACAGAAACACAATGTATTTCGGTTTTATATTACTTAAATAAAAATATTTTTATAAAGTGGTAAATTAGTAAAAAAAATTATATTTCATATTTTATTATTTAACTGAACGCTTTAATGTTATTCTGCCACTTGTGACTGTATAAAGGTTTCTACATTGTAATGTTATGTTATATGCTATGTTTCTATGTAATTATACTGAATTTAAAACCAGTATGTTTAGTCTTCCGGAACCAATTAGGATAATATTTAAACTGATTTTTTTAAATAAAATGTGACCCTACTCGCGGGTGTCAATATATGTGTATGTGTCATTTTGTTTGTTTGTCTTTCTTTTATGCATTACTACACCTCTCTTCACATCGCCGTAAAACTCTGGAAAGTTGTTGAGAATATTTCTGGGAAGGTTTCTGCAAAAAAAAAAATTCCAATTTGCCTGGGTGGCACCACGGCAGGGCGCGATTTGTTTTTTCTCTATATACGGAGTATAAAAATAAAAGTCGAATGCGATTTGACGCTGTTCATCCGATCAAGATCAAACTTTGGTGAGTTAATTAGAACACATCAGGAAAGGGTTCTGTAAAAAAAATCATTTTTAATTCCGCAAGGTCGGTGCCACGGAAGGGTGCGATTTTTCTCTAAAAACGGTGTATAAAAATTAAAATTGATTGCTGTTCGACACCGTCTATCCGAGTGCCATAAAACTTTTAGAGAGTTGATAAATTCGTGCTTTCGTCGCATTTTTATTCGGACATTTGTTCTTTTGCTGGCAAATGCCCATGTACACAATAGTTGCATTTGGGCAAGTATTGAATCTTATTTGGGAAAAAGGCCTTCTGGTATCTTTCGGGAAAACGTACGGCTCCCCATATTGACATTCTGATAAACATTTTTTTACAAATAGTGTTTAGAGAAGCAAAATAATAAATCTTTAACATGGAAAAAATGCATCGTTTTGCTAAAATATTTACTTTTAAGGGACATGCTTGAGCCTTTGGCTTGTATCGAGCTTTCCATAAGACAAGAATACTGCCGGAAATATATTGGCCGAGATGTTTTAAAGTGGTACAGAATATATCAAGATAGAGGAGATTTCGACCGCTGTAAATATGGTACAAAATATTATTAATGATAGATTTTTAAAATTGAACTACACCGAATCACGACAAAACTACTACACTACAGTGCGCAAACCTACCCTACCCTGCCCTACCCTTCTTTAATCTAATCTATTATATAAAAAATTATATCTCCTTCACACCCCACTTTTTTTTACGACCGTGCATAAAAACATTTACATTAAGTTGCATTCAATTATGTTTATATTAAGTTTGTTAAAATAAGGATTGTTATTGGTTATCAAGGTATAAGCCCCGAAGACGATATGGCAAGAAGATGGATCGAAAACAAACATCACATGTGGTGCTACAACCTTAGCAATAACATGGGTGTAGCATTTTCGGTGAAAGGACAACAAAGTGCGTTTCACAAAGGTAATGCTTATCACGTATTTTTTTCAATTACAATGTTAAATACACATTTCCTTTGAAACTGTGGATGAGGTAAAGTCTTACAATGCATGCACTAATGATCTTGATCATAAACATGCTTGTTAATGTATACAACACGGTATGTTTGTGATATTACACTAGCAATTCCAGCTCGTCTTTTACAATTGATTAAACAAACACTATTACAACAAACTAACCAGGACAAAACACCCCATTATTCAAATATAAATTACATTAAATAAGCGAATACCCCAATAGGCCTAACCCTACAGCACAAATATAAGTTTTTATTCTAGTTTTAGAAGCGATACATTTTTGTTTGTTTCGTATTTATCTCTAATTTTAAAACATAGGTTGCCACATATACATGGTTAGTTATTGAAAATACTAATCAACAATAACTAGTTTGACTCTAACCATTAAACATTAATGAGGTGTGTACTTAACACAGCTATATCTTTTTAATTAACTGTACAGGTAAAAAGTCCTTTTTGTAAAACCAAAACCGTTTTTATAAAAGTTGAGTTATCGTTCAGAAGTTATTAGTCAAGTCTCAATTACACATTTTTTTGTAAACTTTTGCTCTACAGGGTATAACGAAAAATAATTCTTTTAACAGTAGAAATTTTTAAATCTTAAGATTAGTTAAGAAGAAAAACAATTAAACTGCAACTTGCTCAAACTCATTATGATGTTTTTAAACAAGTTATGGACTTAAATATTATATGCTGTTTCGATATTTTTGTTGTATTTTTATGTACTTTTTTAAAATGTTCAGGAAGTTCTTGGATTGTACTAGTGGCAGTGTTGGTCATCACCTGTTATTCGACTGGCTGAGACATCAACAATGAAAAAAATATTTTTTAAAGGGACAGGCGCAGAAAAAAAGACACCAAAATCTTGATTTCTTTTGTCGTACTCGACTTTTTGCACTTATGTATTCTTTGGAAATTTTTTAATTAAGAAAATAACATTTTTAATTATAGTTTTTTTAATATGTTTAAAAAAACAATTTTCATGACCCAATCAATTAGAATGTATTCATTTTCTTTTCCAAATATTACACGCTCTCTACAAAAATTCAAAATTCATAATCATAATGTATTTGGCATTAATGAAAAGCTGGATGACTCATGTATTTCATAATTGTATTTTCCATCATTTCTGAAAAACCTAATCTTACAACCAACTTTACAGATGACTCAAAAAAGTATTAACCTGAACAACATTTTGTTAATTTTTTTCTGTTTATCTCATTTTGCAGTTTTTTAGCACAAAAAGTCTATTAATTTTAATTAATAATTAAATTTCCACTATATTTTTAATATTTCATCACAAAACTTTGTCGCGAAAGAATTGTTATGGCTTTTATAAAAAAAAGAGTTTATGTTAAAAGATATGCGAAACTACAAAAAAAGTGCAATATTTTTTGGACCTTGTAGAATTCTGTCCAGTAGCTTTATCAAACAATTGTCGTGAAAAAAAGATAATAAAATATACACTGAAAATTTGATTTCTATAAGTGCATAAATAAATAAAAAAGTTTCAAAGTACCAAACAACTAAACATGGTTGATGTTTTTTTCAGGTTTCCATGACAACTAAAATTGTTTTCAAACCCCATTTTGGTGTGTAATACTTAGCTTCATTTGCTATATTTGGTAAAAATAGTCTAAAGACTTTAGATATTAAATTGTAAAAAAAAAATAAAAAAAAAAAAAACCAATATCCCCTTTAATGTAGAAATTATAAATGAAGCCTAATAAAGCCACACACTAAGCTAACCTTATCATCAATGGATCTGAATGTGTGTTTTAGATTATAACTTTGAAAAAATACAGAACATAAATTATAACATAAAACATAAATCAAATTAAGTCAATTCCATCAAATATAGATCTAGGCCTTCATTGGCAATAAATGTGTTTGAAAAAAAACAAAAGATTAATATTAAGAATTATCCAAATAAAAATTATAACCACATTTTCTACTCTATGTTATAATTTTACATTACATATTGCTATTAGTAATACATTTGTAAATACAATAGCTAATTGTGTAGGCCAAATATTTAGTAAAAGACTGCAAAACAAATTAATTAATTAAAACATAGGTAAAGTATGCAAATTTTTATATTTTTTTTTCAAAGATTTCCAAATAAACGCAAAAACTGATGAAATTAGACAACATGGAAAATTAGTAATACAACTCTTAGAAATGAAGTTACACTTTTGTTCCAAAATTACCTATGATAAAGTGCAAGTTAATTCGTTTACAGAGTTAAAATATAAAACCATTTCTTAATAACTATAGCAGTTAGTTTTTTATCACTTTATGTTTGATATAAAATTACCAAAAGCTTCAAATGTGAAAAAATATTCTTTACATAAAGGCTTTAATTATATCATGCTTAGCAAGATTTTTTTTTCTCACAAGAAATAATATTTTTGTTTTTTAAGTGACTGTTTCAATCAAACATTATAATAATAACACTTGTTTTTAATTCAATTATGTGATTAATGTCACAGAACTTTCTTTGCCAATATCAACTCTCCCCACATTGGCATACCTCACCAATCAGACTACCCTCACAAAAAATAGTAGCTTAACCTTACACAAACTTCTTTTAAAACAAACATCTTTCCCTCACATTGGCACAAGTGTTATAGTGACACACAGAGTTTCTTCCAGGCATGTCTTCGGGGGGGGGGGCTTAGCCCCCCCCCCCCACCCGAAAAAATTTTAATGCCCCCCTGAACGAAATGAAATTTATATAATTTATATAGAAAATATATACTTTTAACAGTGTCCGCGGCCCCGAAGAAAGTCTACCGCCCCCCCCCACCCACCAAAAATCCGGAGAAAAAAGTCTGGAAGAAACACAGGTGACACACCTCCCCTCCACACACACACCACACCCTTTTATGAATCATTTATAAACCTTCACCGGAATCTCAACTAGTAAATTCTTCTGTGCAACAGAAAAATATTTAACATATTCATTGCAGGTATGTGACAGGCAAAATGTACATCTATCTATATGATGAGTACTTTGTAAAGATAAAGATAGAATAAATATCATTAGCTTTGGTAAGTTTGAATTAAATAGTATCTCATACCATGCCAAGGCACTCTCTAAAATACTAATTATTGAAACTATTTGATGCATAGAATACACTTTATCCCAACAAACCAGTTGACAATGTTAGGCATACAATGATAGGCTTAGAATATATATATATATATATATATATATATATATATATATATATATATATATATATATATATATATATATATATATATATATATATATATAAATATATATATATAATATAGATTGTAGCCTTGAGCTTTGACAGCTTCTGCAATGTCAATATGTATGGTAAAACTTAGGTACTGAAAACATAAATATGAAGAGGCTATTAAAATGGAATCCCTAAAACCAAAAAATAAATATGGATTCCGATTATAGAAACAAATGTTGTCGAAGTAGAGATACTGAAGATTGTTAACACTGACTTCATTTGCATTGTGTCCGTTGTTATGAAAATACCAGAAAATACATTTTAAATTTAAGCACAAAATATCCAACCAGCTTAGATACTGAGATGAGCTACACAAAGAATCACATAAAGAGGAATAAAACTGCTATGAAAAATGCAAAACAAAATGGACAAACTGATGGAATGTTTTGTAAAATCTTTTCAAATTATGGTATTTAAAAAAAAAAGAAATTGTTAATACTACTTAATATAAAAGAATCATGAAAACAACACAAAAAGGAGGAAAAGAGATATCAATGAACAATTAAAAGTTCTTGAAGTATTGGACTTTGCAAATCAGATAAATGTATTAGGCCTATAAAAAGCTTGAGACAAATAAAGATAAACATCTAACCTTGACAATTTATAAAGTATTTAGCATAAATTTTGTAACAAATGGGCAACTGAAATAGGAATAAGAGCCCTGGAAGTAGTGGTAAAAGTTATCTAGTAAGTATAGGTAATAGGCTCAAAGGCAACAGAGAAAGTATCAAGGAAAAATAACAGGAGACTTAAGGAGATTTTCATCGTTAAAAAATTTAAGGAGTTTAAATTTGCAAATATAACTAAATTCTTTTCTTTTTATTGTTAATCCAAAAAAATTGGCAAACCAAAAAGTGGATTACGACTAGCTACATCATTTCTAAGCAGCTGCCTAGTATTTATTTGTTTGAAAAGTAAGTTTCTATAACAATATTGAAAAAGAAAGGAGAAATTCCAGTTGGGCAAGAAATTCCAACAAACTAACTTATCTTTAAAATACCAGCTAATATTATTTAATGACATTTATTTATAGTTGGTTATTTTAGTAAGAACATTAAGTTTTATATGCAAATGTTTTTCTTTTAAGTTTAGTTTCTCATAATTAAAGTTCTTTCCAGAGCTTATATTACAAATTTAACATTTCTATTTTATACATTTCAATCTCCTAAACCTGTTCACTCTGCACATTACACAGTAAAACCAATGTTAATCAAAGATGATGTAATTAGATAAATATATTATCTTTCAAAATACTATTAAAATGTTTAGACATATATTTATTAAAATACATGTTTCAAAGCCTTTTGAATGATAATATATAATCTCATTATAACTTAGATTTATTTTTGCTGATGAAACTTATATCTTGCCTGAATTATTTTCAAGATATTAAAAAAAATTTTTTTTAACAAAAACGAAATTTTGACAAAGGCTTTTCATTTCAATTTTTAAGTATTAGTTTTACAAAATGTATAAATATAATAATATGCACATTGTGTAGACACATAAGACAATAAGAAAATAAAACAACAATAAAAAAATTTGTGTTGATGATCAAAGTCTTATTGCCACCATTTGTGACAAATATTTTTTTAACATAAACACACTCAGATATGTTTAAAAATATGCCATTAATTTAACATAATTGTTTTTCTCTCAGAGTAAACAGTTAACATCTCAGGTAAAAATCATGTTTTGAATATAAAATATATTCATGTGGATAGGAAAAAATTAAAGAAACAATAATTATTCAAATTTTAATTGGATATAATAACCAGAGCTTAGCCAGCTAATTTATTAGCTATTGCTTTTTCTACTGCTCAGAACATGAGTGCTAATATGTTACTTAAAGTATTCAAACAGTATTTTTTTTTCAACTGTGTCCTTATATTGCACAAAAACATGAGGTTAGCTGTGTGTGTTGCTGCTGAAAAACTCAAGTGTCTTATTCTGTAAAATTCCAAAAAATAATTTTAATAATATACAATGAATAGATACATTTATTTAACTAAAGAAATACAAATAAGTGGAAGAACAATCAGACCCAATGTACATCATAAAACAGCAATTTGAGGCATTTACAGTTGTGTTTTTAAAGGAAGATATGCATTGAAAAAAAAAATATTTCGGAGCTAAAAAAAAAGTGAAACATTTAAGCAATTTTCAGTCTAAGATGCTTTGAATAGTATTCACCTCAAAAACAAAGTGATCATAACATTAGAAATATTAAAAACGTAGTTTAAGGAAAGAATGTAAAATAATGTTAAAAAGATGAATTAACAATTAGATTGGGCTTGGTAGTCGAAAATATTTCTTAATTAATATGTATTTTAATGTATCAACAGTGATAAACTATCTATTATTAACTGATATATGATAAAAAATATAGGCCTACAGTAAAATGTAATCAACATATATTTTTAAAAAAGTAAATATATCTAAAGATAGGCATACTTTTAAAAAGGCAATTTTGTTTAGTTTTTATAAATCTTACACACAAATTTTAATAGTACACTTTACATGCCATAGG